GGGGGGGGGGGGGTGAACAGGTGCAGGATGGAGCCACAGCTCATCTAGGGGTGTGGGTGGGGGGAGCCGTTTCAGCTGCTGCGTGCCACTCGTCCAGTAACTTTTGCCGCTTGTCTGGGAGGGCCTGGTTTTGCAGCTGTGGGCTGGGTCCAGGGGCTGTGCTGGGCAGGAGGGTTACTAGTGGGGGGGTTGCAGCCACCCCAGATTTTGCTGTAACCCCCTCCCAGCACTGCTGCCACCTACCCTGAGTGCAGCACAGCCCCCAGCTCCAGCCTGCAGCTGCAGCCTGCCTTGTGCAGATCCAGGGGCACATGCCTCCTCATGCCCTGGACGAGTGGCGGGAGCCACCGGATGAGCCCCCAGACAACAGCTTCTGGACAAATGGTGTGCAGCGGCTGGAGCCGTCCACGTCCCCTGGACAGGCTGCGGCTCCGTCCTGCGCCTGCCTCTTCCAGCTGGGCAGCACCTGCCTCAGCCCCAGCCCCACTCCCTCCCTCATCATGTCGGGGTTGTTGATCTGCAGCCCCATGCCCCTTCCTTCCCCCCTACCCTTTCACCACAGCAGACTTACCAGCTGCACACAGCTATATCAGAAATTGGATCAGTATCGGCCGATAGGCCTCCTCAGAAATCAGCTATCAGTATCGGCCCCGAAAATCTCTTATCAGTGCACCCTTAAATCAGATGACAGGGCTGGCCATAGAGAACATGTCTACTGTTGAAAGGAAAAAGAAAAGGTAATAGGTAGTTAATCAGCAGATGTCAGTGCAAGAGGTATAAGGTCTAGGTAGAAAGGCAGGAGACAGTGGAAAGAGAAACAAGCTTGCTTTTTTGAAGAGATGAGTTTTAAACTTCACTGATTGGAGTGACAGAGGAGCATACTCAGAGCCTCACAGGAGTCAGCACCTTGTAGACTTAGGTTGAGGACAAAAAGCTAGGAGCACTCTGGTTGGGAATACAAGTCTGAGGCTGACTGGCGTGCCCAGTCAACACGCAAGTGACTGCCCTGCTCTGGTTGTCAGGGAGATGTGGAGCTCCAGTCCACCCACCCATCTTAGGAGTCCTAGGCAACAGCACACGAGCAACAACCCTGGGGCTCCGCTACTCCAGTCTCAGATTCCATCAGTCCAGGGAAGAGGCAGGTAAAGCTCCTTGTTGAGCAACACCCAGCTGTTCTGCAGCCCTGGGGAGTCTGTAGATAATGGGCCATAGCAGTAGCCCTAAAGGAACCAGTCTGAGGGGTAACACTTGCTCTGTTACACTGGGATAAACTAGTGCAATTCAATTGCAGTTACTCTACCTGCACACCCATAACAGAAATCAGGATCCAGTCCCAAAGACTATGTGTAGGGGACACTATGCCATGCTGGATCCACCTAACCAGTATCGGCTCTCTGTTTACAGCTGACAGCTTTGACTACCCCAGAGAAGGAAATTTTCCTCTCTTACAAGTCGGCCATCACCGGACCCTAAATCCACCATCTTTCCAGAGCGTCCTTTCAGCAGTGACATCGTATTGGCAACTTGCTGGGCACTTGATGGCAAATATGGCACCTGGTTCAGAGAAATGAGAAATTAGTCCAATTCAGACATGAGTTTCCCTGCTGCATTTCAGTAGTGGTGAAACATCACAGGAGTCAGTAAAGCATCTTACAGAGCATGATGTCCTAGGACATCTAGTTCCACATGTCTGTAGGCTGCACATCCATTACAAACCTAGCCCTGGCCCTACATCTGTACAGGTGCACCACTGTGGTTGTGTGGAGCCCACCTGACTTCGCTAGCTTTCCACACAGGCCCAGTGACCTGCCCATGTGGATCTGACTGCAGGTCAGGACCATAAGGGGAAGTCAAGGAGGGCCACAAGTTGCATTTCTGTTACCTTCATGATCATTCTGCCTGAATATGAAGACACAGCACAAGATCAGGAGAGCTTGGGACTAAGACCCAGAGGTGCTGGTCAACTTACAGCTGTTGTTTCAAGTCCCTGAGCCACTAAACTAAGAAATTAGAGACCAGATCCTCAGCTGGTGTAAATGATGGAGCTACGGAGCCTGGAAGGCCAGAGTATCCCCTGCCTCCTCCAAGCTTAGCTGTTCATCTGTATCTGAGGCACAATTTATCTGGCCAACAGCACACAAGGAAGTAATGTGGCCAGCACTACTTTCAGCCACCTTTGACTCCTCAGCCCAAGTATATAGCCATTTACAGCTGAGTTGATTGGGAGGTAGCCTTGGCACGAGTCCAGAGTGGGGTTCATACTCATGCCTCAGGAGCCTGAATGTACAGCATGCAGTCCACTTGATTAATATTAGTGGCCTGGTGTGCAGACAAGACTGTAGTAAGCTGGTGGTCCTCCACTGGAAAATGTAACTTGGAAGTGGCCCTTAATAAGGTTGGAGTCATGCACCCATGCTCTGAAGCCATAGTAAAACATCTTGACTACTATGCCACCTCACCCAACTCCACAGCAGGCAATACTTCCATCTAATAAATGGACTGTAGCAGAACAGACGCTAAGTGACTCATTGCAGGCTGAGAGAGCTGTCGTAAGTTAAGGCTAGGAACAGATGTTGCGTTTGTCCCTGGACAAGCTGTGCCTGTGTCTGTCCTGGAACAGAAATATGCCAGGATTGGCATGCACACACATCACCTTTCTAATCAGAGTTTAGTGAGCAACTGAAGGCACTAATGCTTTTCTGACCAGGTTCTTTGGGTAAATCTGATATCTTTTATTAGGGCAACTCAAATAGTTGGAAAAAATTCTTTGCAAGCTTTGGTACAAATACCCTTAGGCTGAGGAATCATCTTCAGTTGGTCTATTCAGGAAGAGCACAAACCAACTTTTCCATCTAGGAAGAGCACAGACCAACTGAAGATGATTCCTCAGCCTGACTAAGGGTATTTGTACCCGAAAGCTTGCAAAGAAGAATTTTTTCCAACTATTTGAGTTGCCCTAATAAAAGGTATTAGATTTACCCAAAGAACCTTGTCTGCCCATGTCCTTAGACCAACATGGCTACAACCTATACCCTGGATGCTTTTCTGCCATTAAATGATGCATAATTGTGAGAGAACTGTTCAGATTTATTTTGAGATGTTCTGGGATAACATGTTGCTATTTATCTCGTGAACCTTTTTAGGATTTATCCCAGGAGAATGGACATAGTTGGCAAAGCAACTGCATTTTGTCCTGGGACAAAATGCTTTACCTCGGGACAAATGTTATGTCTGTTTGTAGCCTAAGAGTCAAATGAAGGAAGGTCCTGCATTTAGACTATTAGATCATTCCCCACCATGAAACCCATCTATTTTCAAGAGAAACTGTTTGGAAGCCCATAGTGATATATATTCAAACATTTCCTCCCAAAAAATCTATGCTAAAGCAACTTGCTTATGCAAGTATTCCTTGCTGTTATCCTATTAAGTAGATAGATGTTTCACACCAGTCACCGAGCAGAGCAAAATACCACAGGTGTTTGCTCTAGATGTGTTAGTACTTGGTCAGATAACTGCCTCAGGAGGAGACAGAGAATTTCATTTACCAAGATGAAAATCTCATCAGGCAGGACACAGCCTTCAGGAGAGAAATTGAGCACCAAGTCTTAAGAACAGCTCAGTCAGGCATTGCCTCAGCTCCCACTGACTTTCATGGAAGTTGGGATCCCATAAAATAAAACTGGGCCCCAAGACCTTAGAGAAGATTAAAGATCTCACAGCCTGTTTGACAGTAGTAAGGATTTACACCTCCGTCCTTAGCCTGAGTTCCTCCCCTTTCCCAGTCTCTTGTGCAGGTTGTTTTCTTTCACCCCAAAGGCAGCTGCACTTGCGGCCAAAGCACTTCACAAGTGCCCCACATGCCTCCTTTGGAAGACATCCCAGGTGAATACCAGGATTAATAACACAAGCCCGCTCTCTTCCCTGCCCCTTCCTGCAACTCAAAGCAATTCCAGCATAGTTTATTTTCTACAGCACATGCTTCCCATATCTGTGCCAGGAGCCCACAGCTCATGAACAGCCCTGTAATAAATCAGCACATGTGCATGTGACAGAAGGGAAACACTGCAGTAGGAATGGGTTTGTTCGGCTTCCAAGGAACGCTGGCATGCTGTGCTGGGGACAAGAAGCACATCACAGAACAAGCCAAGTCCTGGTTCTTCCCTCCCCCCAGGACATCATTTGCTGCCTCCTCTGCAAGGCCAGGCCAAACCCATCTGAGAAGCCTTGGCAAACTCTCTACCTGTAGCTTTAAAGGAACCTTGCGGAAGCCAGGCATGAGGACTCCTGCCCACATAACGTAGGCAGCAAAGCCCGTGCCAGCTGCGAGCTGCACCAGGCCCCAGCCACCAACAGGCCTTCCTTGCAGCACTGCTGCTTGCTCCTCCAGGTCATCAGGGTCCATGTCTGCAGAAACACAGGATGGGAAATATACATGAGGCTACTGCTTCCCCAGCACTGTGCATGAGCCACACCTGGGACATGCAAAGCGTTGCCCAAGGGGGCACAGGGCCCGGCAGGTGGACCCCATCAGAGATGCCTCACTTGGCAGCGAGGGAAACAGGCATAAGGCAGGCAGTGACTGAGCCCAGATTGCCCAGGGCAGACCTGCAGCTCTACCCACCAGGCCTCCTATCCCATGCAGCTGAGGGTCTGTCCAGGGTCCGGGCCCCCTGCCTACGCCTACGCCCCGCAGGGGACACCCACCTGCCGGAGTCAGACTCGAGCAGCCACCACCAGGCCCCAGCCCTCCCCGGCGCGGCCCCTTTAAATCAGGCCGCCTCTGACCCGCGAGAGCAGCCGCTCAGCCAGGGAAAGGCACCTGCCTGCATCCCACAATGCTCCGCGCCGCTCCCTGCAGGAGCTGCAGTGACGCTACGAAGGGCGGGCACTTCTTCCGCCCCTCACTGGCGCGGGCAGGACAAGGCTCCGGCCGGGCCCGGCTCGTAATGCGGTCCGCGGGGAACCTGCTGCCGGGAACGTTGGTTCCGCTGCCAGGGGCGGAGGCCGGCTCGGGGGCCTTGCACTACGGGCTCCTGCAGCCCGCGCATCACCCCCGAGCCCTGCCCCCGCCCTGAAGCTGCGGACTTGGCTCTGGGCAGAGCCGGTGGGTGTCCTGCTGGGGCGGGGAAGCGGGGGGAAGCCAGGTTATCTATCCTGAGGGTCCTGTAGGAAGTGGGGTCCTGGCGCCCTGTGCCAGTAGCAGCCCCCCAGAGTGTTAGGGCTCTGCCCAGCTGGGGCCACAGCCTTGTGAAGCCCCAGGGGCTCAGAGAACAATAACCAGCAGCTGGCAGGGTGCTGCAGCCCAGGCATCAGACATGCTTGTGTGGCTGCAGGCGGGACCTCGGGCCTGGAGGGAATGTGCCTTTCTGCCCCAAATCTGGTGATTGCCTAGACCTCAGGTGTGTGAGCGAGACTCTCCAGCCAGGCACCCAACAGGCAGGAGGGCCAGAACTGCTGGGAGCACTGGTGCACCCTGCTGCCCCATTTTGCTTCTCTAGCTGTGGCCCATCTCAAAGGCTTCACAGAAAAGTGAATAAAATGTCTGTGTCGGGATGCTGTCACTGGCAGGGAGGGTTACTGCTTGCCAAGCAATCACTGACCCCAGGGCGTAGAGACCAGTACCCACTAGGTCTCAAGAATCCCGAGTCCCTCTATAACAGCCTTGGTGCAGGTGGCAGACGTCATTGCTGTGTGAACTGTGTAAAGTCCCTGTTAGGAACATACAGTGGGACTCTTTCTTAAACATGTTGGCTCAGTCACGTGTGTCCAGCAAGAGGGCAGCGCTTTCGTATGCCTTCACTAGGAAATGGGTACTTTTTGAACTCAGGTTAGCAATCGCATATGAACAAAGCATGTTTCTTTCTTTCTCAGCCATTGCCAAACTGTCAGCGTTTTGAAGGGGCTCTGGAATACGATACTAGCAAAAGGGGACACTTGAAAATGATGTGCAGGAGAAGAAACAGGAAGGTACCAGAGCTCCATGACTGTCAGGTAAGGGCTCATCTTAATCCCAGGATTTTGGCACAAAGCTTGAGGTTTTTATTCCTTCCAGAATTGTTGGTTTGCATTGACAGTTACAGCTCTGGATAATTTTGCTTATATTGGAGTCCAAGCCCTTTTTGAATGACCTCAGTGACACCCCTTGGAAAGGAGCACCACTGGCTGTGTTACATGAGCAACTGTACTTTTGTTGGGGCTGGATTTGCTGCCTTTCACTTGCGTTAAGTGCCCTTTTTTTCTTGCATTATGAGATCGGGTGAAGCGCAATCCCAATCTATGTTCTTTACCCCACTAATTGCTTATGTACTTCTGCCACACCCCGTGCTCTTCATTTCTTTTCTGAGTGAAACAGCATCACTCTTTCTAGTTGCTTTTCGTAAGAGATTTTCTAGAACCCTTTTCATTCTTGATTCTTTTCTCAGACTTTCTTCCACTTCTCATTATCAGCTTTGTGATGAGGTGACCAGCGCTAGGTTATGTATCTCTGAATTAGTCTATAAGGTGCAACTCTGCTCTGCCTTCTGTGAATACTACTTCGAGTTGCATAAAATATTTCTGAAAATGCACTAATTGTGGGGTTCCACTTAAACAAAGGAGAAATTATATTTCTGGCCAGAAATCCAAGCCTGATGAAGAAAAGCTCAGTCTCTTTGAGAGTAGTCAGCCAAACTCTCAGGTTTAATGTTGCCTGTGCTGCGGCAGTGCATAATTAATCCAACTCCTCTTTTCTTCCTTTTCTCAGACTTCTGTTTCCTTTACCCCTCCCAATTGAATAGTGCTATCAACAGCTCAGTTATCCCATCCTGTCTCATCTTCTCTCAGAGCTACTTTTTATCTTGTATTTTCAGAGGTGGTGCCTTTCAGCTGGACGTATGTTTAGACTTGGGGCAGAGGTTCTGGAAGGTTTTTGTAGCTCCAAACAAGGCTCTGTAGTCTTCAGTCCAATATTTCTTTGAGATGCACTGTGGCTTATAGGTGTGCAAGAATGTGCCTAGTGTCCTTGTCCTCTCCACCCCCTACACAACATGGCTGAGGTGTTTTCCTCATGGCAGTGAGTCTCTCTGGGCCCATTTGGGAAGCTGGCAGTTTGAGGAGAATGGCTGGAGGAAGCTGTGGTGTGGAGAGGGCTGGAGAGAGAGTGGTACTGGCTAAGATGCAGTGCACTTCTGATGTTTCCTTCTGTAAGGTGTCACATAGGCATATAGTATAGGGGTGTGAGGAGAGCCACTTGAGAGTAGGTCAGAGGCCCTCTTAGTTTAGTTTGTCTCTAGGGGTGTGTCAGTGAGGAGGTAGGACTAACTCAGACTGTGTTTCAGATTGGCCTAAAACTCGTCCCCAGGTGACTGAGACCACCCTCAACCATATCACTGTCTCATTTGTCATTGGCCTAACGGGCCACGTAAACCCAGATGGACCATGCCTCACTGTCCTTATGGATAGACTTTGGCTAATAACATTTGGGCCAACAGCAGACAGATCCTCTAAGTGCTGTACAGGCACTGGGGGGAGAAGCCACCCGGATTGGATTCCCTAGCCCCTGGACATGGATTCTAGCCTTGATTCCTGCCTTACTGCTTCAACAGGTCAGAGCCCAGAGCTTCTTGGCTTTCCCGTCCGCACTACCTTCACTGACCTCTGATGCCTGGCTAGGCTGGGATTTAAACAGTCAGCTTCAGATTACAGTATACACAGCAAAAGCTGAGTAGGGAGATTAGACATGAGACAATGAAAGAACAGGGGCTCAGGCAATGAAGCTTGTATAAACATGAGTTTTAGGCCCACTGCCTTTGCTGTTAAAATCACAGTGCGGTCTCCTGTGGGATGGAAATGCAAGACTGATAGACTGATAACTACAGAGAAGAGAGATCCATCATTGTGACACATTACTAGAAAAACTGGCTCAGCATGAAGCCTGTTGCTCACCTCCTTAAACAAATAGACTTCTAACAGCCAAACATGTTGCAGGACAGGGAGATTGGAGAGGAGGGACTCCAGTCAGGTCTCCAAATGATAGCTGCAGTTTAGATTTTCCTTGGGTAGTTATACTAAGTTGACCTCTCCTGAATGTCTCTCCCTTTGAAAGTGAGTAGGTGATGTTAAAGGCCATATCTCAGCTTCAGCTTTTGTTCAAGGATCTGGCTCTGAGGAGGCTTTTACAAGGTATCCAGCTGTCTGATCAGAAAGGAAGGTCGCAGTTCGCAGTTAAACAGGATAACTGAACAAACGTAGGGGATAGTGTATGAGATCCTTAAAGGGGAAATGGCTGGTAACTATCGTGTGACCATAGGGGGCCATGTTAGAAGTAATTTTCCTCTGACACTGAACAAGGAGTAAGGAAAACAGTACTACCCCTGAAGTTCCTTTGCATAAATCTCTGCCTAGAAACTTCCTTAGCTCACCCTACCTTTTTGGCTTCTTGCTACAGATTCAAAGAAACAAAGAGTACATTTCCCTGTGTGTATGGCTAAGTGCAATATATACACCTACAGATAATGTGTGTACATGTAGAATGATATCATTTACTGTCTATGTTATGTACCTGTACAAATAAAGGTATCTCTGTGGTGGCTGCATGGGCCACTTGGGAAACATCCTGTTTGTGTTTCAGATTGACCGACTGCTTGTGGAGCATTATGCACCACACAGGAAGTGAGAATAAATATTGCACTGATGTGAAGGAAGAAATGGAACTTAGGCAGGGTAGAATATAATTGGCCATGTCAGCTTGGCACTCTATTTTGATGGAATGGACCAGGGGAACTTAAACAACCACGTGTCCTAGGACCTGTCATTTGCCTGCTATCATTTGCCCTCACAACAGCACAGTGCATGGTGCTGGAGCATTATGGCTGACTTGGAGGGAAGAGCACTATTTTACCTGTGCTGTCTGGTCTTGTGATTTTGTTGCAGTTGTGGTGCTGTTTGGTGATGTCCATGAAGCTCGCCAGGTTCAGGAGTCATATGATGGTTTGAGCATATCAGCTCCATTTAAAAAAACAAACAAAAAAACCCGGAAAAGCTTCTCAAGCCTGTGCTTATAGAGAAAAGCTAGAAAACATGACCCTAAAGGCTTAAAAAAACCATCTGGGAATTCAAAAAATCAAAGGTTTATTTATTAATATTAAATCGTACACTGTTTAAACCAATCTCCTATTTTTTGGATGCTGTGGGTTGGCAGAGTCATGAACCCCTGTGTTGTGGGTTTCCTTTTGAGCCCTCAGGCCAATGAGTAGAGGTGCTAGTGGCTGTTGTCCACTTTATTATTCACTTCTTGTCTTACGGCTGCAGTCCCTCTGTGCTAAGCGCTGTACAGACATAATGAGGAAGACTCTGTGCCCCAGGACACTTGCAGTCTAAATAGATTAATGAGTCATGAGGTGGCCAGGAGGGAGTGTTTTATCTCCATTTTAGAGCTGGGGATGCTGAAGCATGCAGAGGTCTATGTGGCCACCATATTCCTTTCATGAGCTCTTCTGTGGTGAAATCCCCATCTGCTCTCTCCTGCTCCATACATGCCAGTTCCTGGAAATGGAGCAATGTAGCTACCTTTGAGGGGCTCAGAGCACCCGCTCAGTACTGATCTAAGGTCTCTGCCTCAGGCCTGCTTCCTGGCATATGTTCAGGGGTGTTCTGAGATGTCTCAAGTGTCATTCTGAGAATGCTGCATGGTGGGGTTCCCAGACACAGCCCAGCTGCTGTGTAGATGTGCCCAAAGTGACTAGGCCAAAGCAAAACAGGAAGTTTGTGGCAGAGCTGGGAATTGGACATTGTCCCCAGGGTCTTGGCTCAGTACCTTAACCACAGCCTGTCTTCACTGCAGAACAGCTCCAACGTTTGGAATGGCTGGCAGTGTCCTTGGGAATTTAATAGCAGGATGGAGATATATGTCCGGTGGGGTGTGGGGAAAGCATGCAGTTCCTTGCCTGTCTTACCAGGGGCTCTACTCAGCCATCCTTCCACTCCAGATTAAACGGATACAGCCCCTGTTGACTTCAGAAGGATTGGCCTGGTTTCCAGCCCTGTCCAATTTGACATGATTCAATTTAGTGCTACCCAATCACCTGCCACCTGTGTTCAGTTTCAGTGGTAATATCCTTGTCTGCCGTGTGTGAGACCCAGGTTTGATTCCTGGACACTCATATAACTACAGCCACTGAGGCACTGAATGTTTGGACTCAGTCTGGCCTTCAGTTACTGTCTCAATGGCGTAAAGGGGGATGGAAAGTCGGAGCAGCCTCCACTCCTCCATGCTTCTGCCTAGGCATACGTGTTGAAGGTCCTGGTGACCACTCATGCATACACCATAATCCAGAAGGATTGATAGTTGCCTACTGCTGTCATTACCATGGAGCGGGCATGTGTTACTGCTGATTTGCCCAGAGATTTTGAAGGAATGTTCTTTTTAAAGAATAGCAGTGAGGTGTTTAAAATGGTTTAAATGCAGTAGTTTACATTAGTTCCAAGAACTGCAAACTCGCCACAGGTGAAGTAGTTTCTTCTTTTGACTTTCTTGATTTTCATCCTTAATCTTTTATTGTTCTTTGTGGTTTTGTATGCTGGCTTCTGTTATGGTCAAAGTTAAGACAACCCATGCAGATGTTGAGCTGTTGGTTGTTGGGGCTGTGTTGTACTAATGTGTTATCTCTGCCCTCTGCTGAACAGAGTTAGACTGACCAAATCATGTGTCACAGCCTCCCTACTGCTCACAGGGCAGGGAAATCCTTTGGCTCAAGTGTCAAGTGCTTCTGCTGTCACCCCTGAGTTCCTGTCCCTTCAGCTGCTGTGAAGTACCATCTGTGAGAGAGCTGGCTAGAGATGTGCCCCAGCATCTGTAATTGAGGTGATTTCTTTAAAAGAATGAAGTGGAAGAGAAGCCAGCCTCAGAGCTCTATGGGTGGCTGGAGGCATTTGCTCATTCAGAGTCTGACTGTAAATGGGAAGAAAATCACCAGAGAGAGAGCTCATCAGGAGCACAGTGCAGCAGCCTCACT